TTATAAGAGTCCTATATATTTTATTCTCTATAAATGCAAACACCCTCTAAGTGCAAAATTTTAATTTTTTTCACTATAATCTTAACAGGATGCACTTAGGGAGGTGTAACTGTATCTTACTTTAATAAACATTTAATTTTTTATCTTAGTACAATATACTACTATCTAAATTTTAAATATTTATATTGGTGCTTTATCTGCTTTACTTAAATATTTTTTAAATAACAATATACTGTCACTATTCTTTTAAAAAAGCTTTTATGTATTGGTTTAAATATAGCTATATTGTATAATTAAAGTTACTCTTAACGAAAAGTTGTAATACAAGTACTATTTCTAACTTTTGTTCAAATTGGTTGGTATTTTAGAGTTGGTATGCTCTTAGATACCTGTATTATATTACTACTATTAGCCTGGTATATTTTGCTATTTATGTTTTTAATATGCTACTAAGTTTAGTGACTTTCTCTCTGTATTTATTTTATTTTATTTTTTTTAATTCAGCAGTCTTGCCTCTACTGTTTATTAGATTTTACACTTAGATATTTTTGTTTACAAATATCACAAATACAGTTACAACTATCTAAAGTATATATAGTATGGTTATTAACTTGAGTATCTATGTGCCTTTCTCTCTGTATTTATATATTTTCTATTTTGATTTTCATATACTATATGTTAAAGATGTTTCAAATTTAGTAAAGCCAATTCTTTACTACAAGTCTCTTTGTGTTTCACTACTTTTTTCACTACTCCAATTCTAGTTACTATCTAATTATTTTTTTAAACAATATCTCAATGCTATCTTAAAGTTGTTAGTATTATCTCTAAAAATTTATATATATAATCTTTGTATAATTAGAACCTTTTGTAATATCTGCTTGTTATATATAATGCTATTTTTTCACAATAGACCTCTTTTTAAAAAGTTCTATTTCAAAAATATAATTACTTGAATTTTCTATAATAATTATATTCAAATATTTGTAAAAACCATACTAGGATTTGAGCCTAAAATCTGCTTATAGAAGGTTGGGTGTCTAGACCACTAGATTATAGGATTCCGGCTCCTTTTTTTAAAAATATATATTTTAGTTTAAAAATTATACTATATTATTATAAACAAATTTCTGTATTAAAAATATAGCTTAGTGTAGTAATAAAGTTGTTATACTCTTAAACTAGCTTGTAACTATAATACTAAGTTTGAATTCTACTAGTAATAATTTAGGCAAAAATAGTAACAGATTTTTATTAATAAGTCAAGTTTTATTATCTGTAACTTTAGTTACACCAACGTAAGTTTATATACTAGAAGCTTCTAAAAGTATTCATATAATATCTGGGTTATATAAAAAAATACAAACTAATACAAATAGTGCAAATCTACAATAAGACTTCCAGAAATATATAAAACCGATAAAGAAGATTTGAAGATCTAAAACTGGCTTGGCAAAACTTAAGCAAGAAGTAGTAAGAATTATAATAGTACTACAAACCAAATTAGACTAAACTAAAAATTAGAAAAATTGAATAATATGAGATCCTTAAGATTGAATCTACCAATCTGGCTGCTGAGTTATATTGAAAAAAAGAACATGTATTCTGAAAGCATATATCAAGAGAAGAAATACTAACAAATATTTTTGTATTAATGCTTAATAAGTGATTACTTAAATTATTTTTTTTAAGATTTCATCACAAATAACATTTACGCTCTATGCGGTGGCTCTACAATTACTTGGGTATGTTTTTTTAAATCCACTTAATAGATCACTGCATAATATATATCTATTACAATCTAATAATTCGATCTAGTACAATTCAATTTATATCTGTATATAGAAATGTTAATTAGTTCGTCTAGTTAATTCAAAAATAGAACCGAGTGGTTTAAAGTTCAGCCTGGACCAAGTTCTTAAATTTCAGTTCTTAATATTAGTCCAACTCAAGATAGTTCAAGTTCAGTTGAGCTACTTAATATTTCTAATGTATGCCTCTGTTTAATATAATTCAATGAATACCTTCATTGATTAATTTTACCCGATCATAATCTTTTGACAACTAACTTCAAAGAATTCAAATAATAATTGATCAATGTGAGCTGTAAATATGCGAGTGAAATTTTGCGCGGAGAAATCTGAAATTAAATTTAGTGGAATTAGGATACACAAAAATTTAAACCCAGATTTTATTTAATCTCAGATTTCTCAGCGTAAAATGCTGGAGCACCAAATAGTAATGTAGAAATATTTTCTTACAAAAAATTGATTTCCTTCGTGATAACAGTAACGATCTGAGATCTATTCAGTATCTATCTGCACTGATGTCTTTGAATCGGGACATCATGCTGATTTAAAACCTTGAAATATTAATATACGTATGATAATAAAATATAAAATCAACAAGGATGACTTATGCGACGTATTTATGATGAACTCTGGGCGAATCAATTCGATCATATTACGCCAAAAGTGATGACGATTTGATGCAAAATATGCCATAAATTTCTTATATATTGATTTGTTTACTTACAAACTCTAGTTAGCGTTATAAAGCAAGCAGACTTTAAATATTCTTATAATTGAAATTCCTTTATTTATCATGAAATTCATTCGCAAGAAGCCTTCCGTTTCTTACTACTCTGTTGATGTTTCTTGGTGCTTATTAGATGTTACTAAACCAGCGTCGCTGGTTGCTTGCTGCGCAACAAGGCAAGGATCGTTAATCGTTCAAAATTATCTGAAAAGGTTCGGCAATTGTAGCTATATCTTGGAACAAGTATCTTTGAGTTTTTGCGACATGATGAAAGGTTATATGAACTTCATTTATTACATATTTTACATTATATATATTGTATATACATTTTAATTTTTTATTTTATTTTTATTTTTATCTACACTAATGCAATTTTTAGATCCTTATGCGAACCATGTTTGCCAATGTTTGATAACTCTTTGTAACGAATCTCAACGAGATTTTATACTTAGTTTGATTGGCCATAAAGTACCTCAGCTTGCGCGAGATGCGCACGGAAATTATGTATTGCAATGCTTAATAAAAAATATTACGACCAAGAGTCAGGTAAAAAAAAAATCTTGAATTTGACATGATAACTATATTGTGTGTACAATTTGACATTCCTTTTTTGTATTCAGGCAATCCGTCTTATTTCTTATCTTGCAAAAGACGTCAAAAGCCTTATTATGGATAGCTATGGTTGGTTTGTTCAAGATTCTCATTTTTCCTAACGCTAAGCAAATTAAAAGAATTAAAAATTTTATTATTTGCATAAATTAAGGCAATTTTGTTCTTCAGAAGACTATTGAATTTTGGCCAACTGAATTAACACAAGTATGATTATTATTGTTCATCTTTCGATTAAGTGGCTTTGATTAATTGGTTTAATTGGTTTCGTTTAATTTGACTTCAATTAATTAATTGGTCAATCTTATAAATAATTCAACTTCTATTAGTTCATATATCATGGAGTTTGCGAAAACATTCTTGATGTTGCTTGCGATTCTCATGGCTGCTTTGTCGTAAAGAAATGTTTTGAATACGGCACCTATCTCCAAAAAAGCCTTGTGCAATCGGCGATTGTGGCAAATACTTTAATTTTAAGCCAGGTAACACTAAAAAATTTTTATTATTTTATAAAACGCATAGTTTTTACATGATTTTCTATTACTATCATCATTAGAACTTCACCGGTCGCATCATTTTACAATACGTTCTTAATGTTGGAGAACCTCTTTATTTCGAAGCAATTAAAAAACAATTACAAGGAACGCGGTTTGAAATTTTTTTTAAAGAACCGGATTATCATATTCAAAAAAGTCGTTGAAAGCTTGCAGCTTGGCGAAGATTTTTTATCTTTCAATCTTGCTTGTCAGTTATTATGGTTAGTTTTAGATTTTGAATCGATTGAATGAATATATTTTCGTTCTTTCTCTCTTTATTCCAACTTTTTTTTTTTTGCTTTTTTTATTTTATTATTGAATAAGGAACTAGATGATAAATATGTTCAAGTAAAGTGTTTTTGACTTTATAAAACTTTTGCTTTTTTATATAAAATACACCATTTACTTTTACCTAGATTATCATTTATTTTTGTATGTTTGTTTCCGATGCTTTGTTTTATGAAATCTTATTGTTCAAAATTATCGAACCTTATAAAATGCTTTTCATTTTTTTTTTATTTGCATTTCCTACACATTTTATGGTCGAAAATATTGCCAATATTTTGCACTGTCGTGGAGAAATGAGAAAGAGTTATACTGTATTAAATAGTTTATTATGAGGGTTTTTACATTTAAAGTTGTAAGTCAATTCCATAGAATCCTCTTGATATAGTATCATACAGGCATAAACGCGAAACAGCATCATTAGCTTTATACTGCCATACATATTTGATTAAACGATCAGGCTCTACTAAATCTTCAGCTTGTTATTATACCCGTAAATATAATAATTTTGCTATGTATTTACACAATCCGGTATAGAAAATTAAATGGGTTATTTAAATATAAATGAATGACCTTTACTAAAACGCGCCTGTAGTGTATGTTACTTTGAGTAAAAATATTCAAGCACCTAAGACCCTTTCGTTAATGAAACCCTAAAAATCTAACTTTAATGTGAAAAAATATGATAAAAATTTTACAGTACATATTAAACTTAAAAAAACACATTATAGTAAAACATATAATAGGTGTTAATGTATTTTCTAATATATAAACAATATACTGTATTTGCAAAATTTCAAGATTATTTTTCTAAGAATTTATCCGTATGTTTGTTTTGATTTAATATTTATTAAATTTCAGAATTTCAAATTAACCCATAATGCTTATAAAGTTTGCTACAATATTCATGGTTGAGTTTTTGATTGCTACTGCATTTGCCCGGATTAAGCGTACAAAAAACCTGTAATGTGCAAATTTATCTTGCTTAAAATAAACTTTATAACGATAAGATTGTCATTAAAAAATTTAACCAGTTAATAGATTAATTGTTGATTGACGATTCATTAATTATTGGTTGGTTTAGAACTTTAATTTTTGATCTAATTATTTTTCTATGAATTTTAACAATAATTGCATCTATAATATTTACTAAAAATAGAGAATACTTAAAGGTATATTATTCAAATATAAATAAAAAATTCCACCAATTTATACTTTTAGTTAATTAGTTTTATGCAATCCAATGACTACCATAAGCTGCTGTATACAAAAACCCGGATCTAATTCATTTTACCAAATTTAAACCCTATAATTAGACCCTGGGTCTCTTGTATGGGTATGGATCTGACAACTGGGTTTATTTTATTTTACATATTTGTATACCCTGGGTCTCTTACACTTTACCTAGTGTTCCGACCCGGATAGGCCTCACCCGGGTCACCCGCGGGTGAGCGGGTGACCCGGTTTGAAATTATAGCCACCCGGGTGGTCAACCCGCGGGTCACCCACGGGTC